AGGCCTGGAGTTGCCCACCCCTGGTTTAGGTTTGTTTATTTGTTTGTTTATTTATAAGGAACCCCATTAGCTTCCACAACAGTGGTTGCTAGTCTTCCTGGGGCCCAAACCATCGAATACCGCCAAATAAAATGTTACACAATGAGTTGTTAGCAAAATGTCCACATAATTTGGCTCTTACATCCACAATAAGGTTTTACAATTCTGAAAATGTAAATATTAAAAATTATAAAAAAAAACACTCAAACAAAATATACAATTTCCATACAAGTGACATTACCCTCTTACAATTTTTACAAATAGATTAAAAACTGTTTAAATAGGCTTTTAGGTGATTTTTAAAATTATGAATAGAAGCCAATTCTCTAATTGCATAAGGGAACTTGTTCCACTGAAAAGATGCTCTAAATATAACAGAGTTTTTTTTAAAAAGTTACTTTTAACTCGAGGAGTTACTAAATTGTGGTTAGTTGAGAATCATGTAGCATGATTATGTATTTCATCTGGATACTGCAACTGAGCATAAAAAAAGTGTGGTGTGTTTACCAGTATTGCTTTCTTTAAAAATACAAGTAAGCCATAGAATAATGTAGCTTGTACAGAAAGCCAAGAAAGTTTATCGTGCATTTTATCAATATCTGTATAATATGAACAGCTTAACACTAATCCGGCCGCCCTATTTTGGACTAACTGAAGTCTGTTCAGATCTGTCTTATTAGCTGCTGACCAAATGATTGAGCCGTACTCTAGATGAGATAATACTAGTGCATTAATGACATCTTTCATAATTGAAGAAGTAACATAAAAGGAGCATTTCCTAGCTATAGCTATGCCCTGTCCCATTTTCTTAATAACAGAGTTGATGTGCTGAGACCATGAAAGGTGGTGGTTTATGGTAACACCAAGTAATTTAATCTGGGTGACCTGTTCTAATACGATTTTAGGTGATGCAAAACACTGAGCCAGCCTTGCTGCTCCAACAGTATTTGAATATCTGTTGCCTAGAAATGAGAATAAAATCCATCAGTTATTGTGACAATAAAGACATCAGTCTTGAAGTCATTCACACAAAGTTAATAATGAATGTGTGAATGTAAACACATTGTTTCAAATGATTGACGATGTGTGTGCAAACGTTTCACAGCTACTCTGTCATCTGCTGAAATATATGAACATATAGTTTAATACTGACCGCTCAGCGTCTCCCTAATGAAAACCAGCCTCACTCTGAACCTTGTGAGTAGTTGAGCCACCAGGTTTATCATAGAGCAGCACAGGATAAGGTAAACATTTCTGTGATGCTGTTTTCAAACAATAATCCTTTGAACAAGAAATTAGTTTTGAATTATCACTTTAAACCGTCTAAACCAAATGAGAACTAATAAAGTTTAAAACTGGCACACACAAAATAATGACACTAACAAAAACGTCAAAGCTTTCTGGAGCGGAAATATGGGAAATGGAGTTCCACTGTGCACAATCAGGACGTGGATTAACTGCCTCGGTGGGTCTGCTGGATTAAAAATGACAGCTTGTAAACATGAGATGCTGTGAAATTGTGACAAAAACGCAGGAGTCGACTTTTCTAAATAATAAAGTACATTCATCCAAATAAGACCGAAATAACAAATGTGTTGTTTGAGTTTGTGATGAACAGCAGAATTTTTCTACACATCCTGAATTATTCATTCACTCACGGATTTAAAGCGAACAGGAATGTTCAGGGAAATCTGATGCAGGAAATCTTAGAGAGCACTGAAAATAATCCAGTAATTTTCTTTCGGTTCTTTGATGTTGGCAGCACCAGCAGAGGGCAGCAAACCCGGCGTCTTACTTTCTTAAACCAAAATAATTCACATAAATCAGCCTCAAATATGAGGAAACTTACCTTCTGCCGTTTTTAAAGGTTCCACGTGATAAAATACTACGCTGTAGTATAGCAGGATAATAGCAGCTCATATGTAACGGAGGGGAAGAAAAGACTGAATAAGAAAAACAATATTTACAAATATGACCTAAATGGTAAATTTAGGTCATACTCAGATAGATTAACAGTAGTTTTAGTTGTCAATAAGCCACTAAAACTATTGTTAATCTATCTGATTAATAGCTGCCAACAATGAAAACATTTAACATGGTTACTCTCATTCAAAATCATGTATAGTGATGAGTTGGTGACACATTTCTTATATGTTCCACATTCCTGCAGACACTAATCTGCCAGCGTCAAAGCTGGATCATGTCTACACACACAAATGCATTCGAACAGTCATTTACTCAGTTTAACATATTCATCAGACTTTGATTATATCTTTGATTAAGAATAAAGATGATCTACTATTATTAGCAAAGAGCACCTCTCACAACAATTTTACCATTTCCAGGGCGCGAGGCAGCCCATCAGGTGAGGCTATGCACTGTTATCATCGTCAATGCCCTGTACCAACATAGAGCAGAGCAGCTATCTGAACGCTACCCCAACAGAGGTCGATTATCTTGTTAATAATTTCAC